TGATTCGCCCTCATTTACATCCTCTATTGGGGAAAGCTCTCCAACCGTCGTTCCCGAATGTATTGTAACATTACTTTCTGAAGGATTAAACATCCTTACTGGAACGTTTGAACATATTTTTACCAAAGCTCGTCCAACCAGTCCTCTGTCAGAATCAAAAAAAGTTGTTGATGGTTCAACTACCCCAACGTCTAAATTAAACTCCTCATTGTCTGGCACAATTACCTTTCCTATTGTCACCACTTCTGTTTTTGATGGCAATGTCATTGTTCCTGAGGCGACTACCCTTAAGCATCCAATTTTTCCTTCAAACTCTAAGGAATGGGACTCGTCCCCTAGTTTAAGACTTTAAATGCATAAATCTATAACGCCTCTATTGGCTTTCAAGCAGTCTAAGCCTAAAACAGCATCAATAGTCATGTCGGCAACTATTACTGTTTGAAATATAATTTTCTTGCCGAATTTAAGCCTCACAACAGTTTTTCCATATACATTAAGAGGAGTGCCTGAAGCTGATAAAATTTTCTGGCTCGTCTCATTGAGTTCCACGTCATGCTTCAAGCGGATTGTATCGAACACCTTACGTGAAATAAGTGTAACCAGTGTCAACTAATATCATGGCAGGCACATCATTGATGGTTCCACAAATGTACATGCCTGGTTCATTAGACTTTTTGTGGATTCCAATGGAACCCTTAAGTTTCTCTTCTGACTTTCCTTTATTATCGGTAGCCATTTTAAATTGTCCAGACTTCTCTTTACCGGTCTCTGTATTTATGACAGATTTTCTTTTGCCAAAAGAGTCAAATGGTCTTGGCTGAGCATAAGTCTGACTCTTATTTGGACTTTTAAATCTACAGTCCTTCTTGAAGTGTCCAGACTTACCGCACTTGAAACACTTTTTGGAAGTACCTGCTGTCTGCTTCTTCTCGTCAAACCCTCGAGACGTATTGTAAGTAGTTTGGTAAGTACGAGACTTCTGTTGCTCAGTTTTCATCTTATTTACATCTGTCTGTAGGTTCAGCAGCATCTCCTTGATAGACTTTGTAGAGTCCTCTAGACTACCACTGTTAGTCTCATGACGAGTATTTTTGCCTCTTGCTTCTCGAACAAAACCACTGTCTTCATTTCTTCTGCGTTCTGCTCCAACGAATGCATTGAGCTCATCAGCGTGTCGAATGGCATCATTCAGATTCTGGGGTAGTGACTGTTTAATTTTCAAACGCGTATCATTACAAGAGCATCGATAAAATACTCCTTCGCCAATGTTTCACAAACATCTCCTGGAGCTGTTGGATATGCCAGTCGTGTGAGTCGTCTAATATCTTGGCCTAGAAGCGGTATTGTTTCTGACGCTTTTTGTAGTCTCTCCCTAAGTTGCGCCCTATACAGTTCCGTCTGATTGGCTGGGGAAAAACGTTCTTCCAAGGACTTGAACAACTCTTTAAAATCCATTTGCAGATATTCTGGTAGGTTTCCAAGCACACCTTTGGCTAGACCTCTTAAGGACACGGCCAGATCCATCCCCTTCTCTTCTTCAGACCAGTGGTTCAAGCAAGCGCATGCATTGAAATGCGAGTTATAGTCCAACCACGACGTCGTTCCATCAAAAGTTGCAGGTTTCAGCTTACTAGATTTTTCATCTTTTCCCAAGTGGTGCCAAACATCATGTGCTTCAAATCTATTGTCTCTAAACCTGCGTGTTGTAACATTGCTTGTTTCCAGGTGTTTCAAAATATACCGCATGGTCTGAAGCTGGTCTACTTGTTCTGTCACTGATGTAGTCAAAATCAGTTTCAGCCTCAGCGTCAACCTTTACTTTAGATTTAGCTCCTCCAAACTCTTGTCTTGGTTCAGAACTCACTTGTTCCGAGGCACCAATGCCAGAATCTCTATTTGTTATTGGAGTTGATGCTTTTTGTCTCTCTTTTTCCCTCAAACGCATACTCTCATTTGAGAACTCTTTAATTTTCTCTTCAAGATAACTTATCTCTTTGTCAACGTCATCCATGGTTTAAGACCTAAACTTTATGTTTCTGAGAAAAAGTTCTTTCACAAATAATCGTTCTTATTATAAAAATCACAAGTGGGTTTTGGATCAATTTATCCCACCGCTGCCACCAAAAATTTTTAATGTGTTTTGATAAAGAATTTTCCTTACGTTATTTGACGTTTAGCTGATTTGTTTGAATATAAGAACAAACACAATCAAGAATAATCAGCAACACAATAATTCCAACTGATTTTCTATATCATGCTAATTTTCCTTCCTCTTCTACGTCTTCTCAATAACTGAACACCGGGACTTGAATGAGCCCGCATATATACTTTCCCAAGATCTGCTGAGTCAGATCTTGATCTTCTGAATGTTTGAAACATTGACTGGACATAGGAGATAACTTTTGATTGCTAAGACTATTTTAAACTCTGATTATATAAATATTAACTCGATCAAAGCAATTTCACTACACAGCTATCCAGCTGTTTGAAATAGAAAATAATTTCATTTTGTGGTATTTTGAAGACCTTATATCATGTGAGACGTCATAATAAACATTTCCCTTACAAATAAGGCCCCGCCTATTTACTTTAACCTTAACTGTGCTGCGTAATTCTGTCTCATTATTCAATAATAGATATTTCCACGAAAAATATAAGCACTTTATGATGTGTTAGATTGACATAAGAATGATGAAATCTATATTTGATCTGTAAAAATAACATATAAAAATAACATTTCATTTTCCTGCTTATATTTAAGAGCATCTTGACTGAAATTTTGGATTTTTTTTTAGATTGACTGACAGCTTATGCATTTAATAACTTTTGAAATTGAATATTTATTATAAATTTATAGATTTACAGAAAGAAATATATTAGGCAAACTTAAAGACGACATTAAATTAAATTTTGATTCAACAATTTAGTAAACACTTTTAATTATTGATAAGGAATAAATATCTTATTATAAACTAGTAAGCCAGTGAAAGAAGGTCGCTGAAATAACAGAAATATCACTAAAAGGTGGCGGAAAGATCACCGAAAGTCGACGGAAAGGTCACTGAAAGTTGACGGAAATGTGTCACTTTAATTTTAAAGTAGAAAAAAGACAAGAAAAGTCTGAAGAAATGAAAGAATTTCAGAACTTCGAAAAAGCTTGAAGTCTGCTGGTTCTCACGTCGCTTAACGTAAAGTGATTGCTCCGTGAATCCTATAACCTCATAGTAAAAATTGAAGTTATTTTTCAAGATTTTAGTAAATGGAACTGATTTTTTACATATACTAATTATCAAACGTTAGGCATTTTTTCAGACATAGGTCTTACTTTACAGTAATAGATTTTTCGTAAACCAATGTGTCCGCAAACTTTCCTAACCACCCTCGTACAATCACAAAAAAATGAAAAATAAAACATTATAAAGATTACCCACAATATAATTTTTCCAGCATTCTCTGTTTCGAGAATCTATATTCAGTTCAGAGAGATCAGATCTGAAAAGTCCACTTAAGAACCCTCTCAACACTGCACAGCAAAGAGTTCTGATTCTATGGTTTTTTTCCGGAGTTATAGTTATCTGCCCTTAGATCTAAATTCTAAAAAATAGAAATTTACACAATGTTACTCAATTGGTATTCTCAACATTTTAAAAGACCAAAATAAATTAACTGAACGTGTTATTTACATGTATTTTCTATATTGAAGTAATTAACAGTGATTTTTATTCCCTGATACTGTGTTGTCTTCGAACATTTTTCCCGGGGGTAAATCCCAAGGACCATACATTGAAAATTAAATAAACAAGCTCAATATTAACTCTTTTATACAATATATTTTTCTCAATGTCCAAAAATTTTTTGCACTTGTGTAGAGAGGGTCCTTAAGGTATATGCCTAGTCTGAGTTCATATATATAACTGCCAAAGTTTGTAAATAACCTTATTGTACGTCATATTACATGATCCATACATTGCTTGCTTTAATTTCTACTTACATTATCTTTACCTTTGACATAGAAATACCTGAAAGACTAATGTTTATTAGGACAGTCGTTTCCGGTCTTACATATGACATGACTTTATCAGCTGTTTATGCAATATTTATAAACACTTGCTTTTCCGTGTGTTGGACTTAGGAAATGAATAAATCTCAATTTGTGCATTCATTCCGGGTACCTCGTATCATTATTACATCTAACATATCCATGGGACTTCACAATTTTCTGCTACACAGCGGATAAGTTAAGTTTAACGATGTCATCTAACAGCCTCCGACATATGTTTTGTCGGAGCTAATGGTGGACAATTTTTTCCGCGATTCTAATTGACTGTGCGGAGATGGCAACTACGTCACTATGGTCACCTGTTACGATGTGGATGCGTGAATTTTCTGACTAGTCAATGCATTGTGACGTCACAAAATGCGTCAATTTCCTCACATTCTAAAAAGTCTACAAAAACAGCCAATTTTCAAAGCTATTTTTCAAGATTTATTATAAAGCGCAACCTCTCATCTAAAATATGTAACTACACTGTAGTAAACAATGGAACAGTTTATGAGAATAACAAGACGCTTTTTTATTTTTAAAGATCAAAGTGTGCTTATATTTTTTTTCTTCTCTGAAAGTACTCAGATATACCTGTTTACATTAAAATTCAAGAACATTGCAATTCTATAAAACCTGTGTTCCAAGACCCAGAGTTTAAGTAAAAAAAATAATAGGAAATGAATCTTAAGTTCCAAGTCTCAACTTAATTTTGATGTTAATAGTGAAACATAAAGTGGCACACAATAAACATGTTTATCTTCAAGGCCGTTTCATACATAAAACGAACTAAGCTCTTTGCAGGTGTCCACCGACAAGTGGTGGCGTCTCCATATTATGTTAAATGTGATGGTACAGTATTTTCAAATGGTTGTTAAAATGTTTTACTTAATCAGAGTATACACATGAAATTAAAATATCTATAATGAAGTTTTATTGTGATATTGTTTCGTTTCAGTTTTGTTTGCCTGGAAACGCCCTTTCATTTTGTATCAAGAATAGGGTGCACGTTTACATTAAAAGATGCAAAAGACTGGTTTGAATCAGGTAATTTGATTAATATTCAGTAAAATCTAAAAAAAAAAAAGGGGGGGGGGGGGATCCAAGTGCTTTTTCTGTTTAAAAAAATTTCAAATATAAAAGTCATAAGTTTTACTTATTCGTAAATTGCTCTTCTGTTCTTGTGAAATGAAGTTCGTATTGATCATTTTGTATTGAAATGCGAAGTGGATATCCTGTAATCATGATGGAATTAAAAAAAACAACTCAAAGATTTATGCGATGACATTAATAGCATAAGTTTTATAACTTTATAGTATATGAATAATGGAAAAATTATGTAGTTTAATAACATGTTTCACAAAAAAAAATAATGTCAATCATTAAAAAAAAATAAACGTAAGTGTTCATGAAAGATGGCTGCATTTTTTAAATATCTTACTTATGGCATGTACGGAATTCGATCATTATATTGCTCTCTAATTTTCCAGAAAAAAGTGATTGCTCTAATGTATGCAAAGTGAAGATCAACAACTTAGAAATGTGGGATTGGAGTGATTTTGACGAAAATTATTACACACCCTCCTATCAGCTGACATCATTAGCTCTTAGCTGCAATGGTTTGAGCGATAATTTGATGATAATCAACAGATCTAGAAGTTGCTTTTCTACACACGGAGGAAAAAGTTTGAAAATTATTTGCAGATCAGGTTTTGAGAACGGTAAGAATGAAGATACCATAGAAAATGAACAAATTATAAGTTTTCTTTATATTATACATGTAAGTCATGTTATTCGTAGCTTAAGGGAGATGTGATGTTGAAATGCTGCAAGATGTGTTTTAGACTATTAGAGGTACTTGGACACAGATTTGAAGTTATTATTTTCTCTATAATATTACGACTTATATATTTTAATAGCATTTCACACAAAATATAATTAAAAATCTTATTTCATACAAAATATATTAAAATTTAAATTTTTTTGGCGGGTTTGATTGACACATCTTTGCATTTTCACAAATTAATTTTATTCTTAATTCTTAGGAAAAGTGGCAATCTCGTTCTGTATAAATGAAAAATATTAATACTATAATTCAGAACATTCAGAGTAGACATGTTCGAAAGCAAAACAAACACACAATATATTGTTATAGTTGTGGTAAGCAGACTGTGACGATTGAACGCACCCGGTAAATTGTAAACATAAACAATAACAGAACTCGAGCCCTGTTTACAAAAACTGTATACATAACTGTGTACATAGCACGAGTGTGCTCGATTTGCTAAACTCTGTACGCAACTCTTACTTCGGAATGACGATATTTGTGAAGGAGTTTTGATTTCTAATATTTCGACTCTAAATAAAATTTTTCTGGATAAAAGTTTTAATATTTTTCATTAATACACAGCAAGATTGCCACTTTTCCTAAGGATTAAGAATAAGGTTAAAATTTGTGAAAGTGCAAGGATATGTCAATCAAACCCGCCAAAAAATTTGAAGTTTTAATAACTTTTAAATGAAATAAGATTTTTAATTAATTTTTGCGTGAAATGCAAATGAAATATATAAGTCGTAATATTAAAGAGAAAATATTGACTTCAAATCTGTGTCCAAGTACCTTTAAACTTTGTTAAATAATAGAAAAAGATATGTTATGTATTTCCCTTAAGTAATATATATAGATATAACAAACCGTTTGTTTTAAAGGTAGTCAGCATTAGGAAATTGCAGGATGCAATGCTCCAAAAGTATGGAAGTGTCTAGAGTAGGGATTTTGTGATGCTAAATCAAACACTCAATTAAAAAAAAATATCCTTCAAATTATAGACCAAGTTGCTCTACTGAGTCCTTTGGTCTTCCTTTTCTTTATTCGACCCCCTTTAATCTTATGTCAAAGTTTGGTTGTCATCTGTGGCTCCCCTAACCCTGGAGAATTAATTATACATTTGCAATTAAATTCACACTGCAAGAAATTGCTTCATCAAATATGCCGAATGTTTTGTTGTTCTCGAGATGAAAGTTTTTAAACTTCTTTGAAAAATTATTAACATCTCTTGGATCATTTCCTACCCCTGAGATTCAAGATTTCAACAAAAGGTTGTCCCCTTTATAATCCTTTTAAAAATAAGATCAACTATTGATACTTGACCTTTCCAGATGCCATGACTTGAACAAACCTGAACCTGTTCCACCTGAGGATGCTTCTTTGAAAATATGACAAATGATTTTTTGCTGTATTTTTTTTAAAATCATCATACATGTATACGATATATACCTATAGAAGTTGATTTCCTAAACTGACATCTTGTCAAGTTCAGTAAATTAATTTTTTCTCTTATAAAGGACAAGTGCACTTAAGCAATGCTTAATGGGCCCTTTTTAAGTGCCATTTTACTTTAGAATATACAACCAGATCGTTCTCTTTTGGTAATAATTAGATACTAGTGGATATTTCTAATTAAAAAGGACGTTCAGCATCAAGTAAATCAGCATGAATTAGAAACAATTGTATTTATGTGAAGCATAAAGTAATTTATACCATCTCTATTGTAAAATTTTTATTTTCTATATTCCGGATTTTGTTATGCCTTCAGTTAAGATTTTCGTCTTACAAAATCCTTTATCTCGGATCACGTGATCATTGTTTACTGTAATTTTAGAAGGGAGAAGATTTTGATTTCATTTCGTTGGACTTTAAGTATTTTCGTTGCGTTATAAGGAATTCTTTCGAGATAATCACGTTTCTCCAGTTGATGTTGAATTATTCGACCAAGAATTGTAAGTAAAATGTGAATTTTAACATTTTATACAACGTTTTCCAAACTGATTGACCAGTGGCAGTGGCTGGTTTCGTAACCTCCCTTCTTACATAACACATTTGTTATGACAAAAAACGTTTTGATACTTGGTCACTCCTTTGTGCGGAGATTAGAACATTTTGTTTTAAACAATTTGGACAGCCGAGTGAACGAAAACCTGAATTTGAATAGAGATGAGGTTCGCATTTGTTACAGTGGACATGGTGGCGCTTCTCTGGAGAAGATTCGCGCGCTGGGGATGGCTTACGTAAGGGAACACCGCCCGGATGTTGTCATTATTCATGGTGTTTCTAACGATTTGTGTAAACCCGAAAAATCTGTTGACTCTATTTTTAGACAGTTAATTGAATTTCTCATAGACCTACGGTATGGACAGTCTGTCAAATCTGTGATAATTCTACAAACTTTACATAGAATTTCTCCTCTGAGGCGCACTCGTTACGAGGTCAATTTACCGTGGTTTAACGGCAGGGCAGATGAACTAAATAGGAGGGTATCAGATTACACAAAGGGAGTTGATGGTGCCAAATTCTTCCGCCTTCAAGGATTTTGGAACTTTTCCACTAAGTCCAGTGTTTACCTTGATGATGGAGTCCATTTAAATAGACAGGGGAACATCAAGTATTACAACAACATCAGGGCTGTTGTTGTGTCTGTTCTTAAATCTCTGCACAATGGTGGGTAAAGTGTATTTGTAATTTTTGTATGCTATTCTCACTATTAAGTGGGGTGCATTAAGAATGCATACATCATTGAAACAAACTCATTTTGTGTACAAATATGTTGAATTTAATGTGTAAGGCACATTTTTTTAGTGTATTTTATTACAAATGCCAATGAAATATACAGCAGTATTGTTTGATATTAAATATATGTTACACCTGTCACAATGAAAAATTAAAAACAACCAAAAAGGTACATACAATAAAAAAGGAAATGCATATCTTAAATTTGCCCTAATTAATATAGAACAACAATGCATATAGAACTCTAAGTATGTACACAATAAAAACACACATGACTAAAAATGGCAAAAAAGATGGGACTTGATTAAAAAACATGCCCATACTTAAAAATAAAATGGCAAAAGAATTGGGACTAGCTTGAATAAAAACAATATTGGCACTAACTTAATTTAAGTACCTAAAAGTTATTGTAGAAAAAGAACTAGTTACAATCTTGAATAGCCAACAAGTATAATACAGATTGAGCAAAATGACAAAACATGATATGACTAGCTTCATTTGAACACACAATAAGCACCGGTGGATGAAGGGGAGGAGGAGGGTCAAAATCTTCTCCCTTCTAAAATTACAGTAAACAATGATCACGTGATCCGAGATAAAGGATTTTGTAAGACGAAAATCTTAACTGAAGGCATAACAAAATCCGGAATATAGAAAATAAAAATTTTACAATAGAGATGGTATAAATTACTTTATGCTTCACATAAATACAATTATACCATCGTCTATTTTTTACATCAAATACCAATCCTCTGTTTTTCTGCCAGAATCTACTCTGCTCTGTTTTTTGCCAAAAATGATATCAACAAGTATTTGAATTGAAAAGAGCATTTATTACAAATGCCAATGAAATATACAGCAGTATTGTTTGATATTAAATATATGTTACACCTGTCACAATGAAAAATTAAAAACAACCAAAACGGTACATACAATAAAAAAGGAAATGCATATCTTAAATTTGCCCTAATTAATATAGAACAACAATGCATATAGAACTCTAAGTATGTACACAATAAAAACACACATGACTAAAAATGGCAAAAAAGATGGGACTTGATTAAAAAACATGCCACAAACTTGCCATTTTTAGTCATGTGTGTTTTTATTGTGTACATACTTAGAGTTCTATATGCATTGTTGTTCTATATTAATTAGGGCAAATTTAAGATATGCATTTCCTTTTTTATTGTATGTACCTTTTTGGTTGTTTTTAATTTTTCATTGTGACAGGTGTAACATATATTTAATATCAAACAATACTGCTGTATATTTCATTGGCATTTGTAATAAATGCTCTTTTCAATTCAAATACTTGTTGATATCATTTTTGGCAAAAAACAGAGCAGAGTAGATTCTGGCAGAAAAACAGAGGATTGGTATTTGATGTAAAAAATAGACGATGGTATAATTGAATATTCTTAAATGCCCATGGATACCCTAAATCCGGAAAAGTCGTACCGAACCTTCTTTGACTTTCGTTTATGTAAATCAAGGGGAATAGATATTTAAATCGACACTTGAACAATCTGATGGTGGATCATAGTCGGGCGCGTTTGCGGAATGTTACGTTTTGTGCCAAATCTGTTAATTAAAAAATTGAATGAAGTTGTGTGATCCTGTAGCCATAATGATCAAACTAAGAAATTGGTACTCTTGCATTAAAAAATACAATTATAGTTTCATTGAATTTGAAATTAAAAAGGAGTGTTTAGATTGCTTTTAATACCTGTTTCATTGTCTCGCACGAATGTTAAATATATTTGTTACTTTTATGAATGACAAAAATACCCTCCCGTGTTCATACGAATATCTCTAAGCGGCACGACTTTGACTTGATGATACAAAACCTGCCGATGTTTTACGGTGAGCACCTTTAAGGAATGTTTACCTGGGTAGAACTCACGTTAATATCAGTATTTTAAATAATTTATTCCACACTCGGGTTCAACATGGGTCATACAGGTAAATAGATCGCACTTGCTATAGGAAAAACATCGTACTTTTTGTACATTTTCATAATTTGAAATACCAGCCTAATCGTGTACAAATTTCCTATTTTCACACAAGTTTTATAAATGTATTATACGTCACAAGTTTGTACAAAGTAAGGCTCATAGTAAACAAAAGCTTTGAAATGAATGACCGTTCTCG